TCGCTGTCACCTCTGAGAACAAAGATGTATGTTTCGTTTCCAGTAAAAGCGGTGTTCGTGTGTTCGTGTTGGTTTAATGCAGTTCTAGTATTATCATAAATAATACAGAAACTGTTTGAAATAAACCGTTTAACGATATCGGTCACTTTGTCGTCAACACGCAATGTGGGCATACTTCTACTAAGTGTCAGGCCAATACGTGTACACTTATACAGTATTTACAAATCGCAGTTCATTATTTTGCTTTAACTGATTTCAGAAACGCTGTTTATTTTTGTCTCTGAAAACTACAAAGACAAAAGTTAGACATGACTAGACAAATTTAAGCGTATCTTGCGTTATTAACACCCCTTTTATTTTTGGGTTTCTTCATATTATGCTAAATACTCAACTTACGTAATGTTTTCCTTACAGAATCTCTTAAAGTATTCTTCAGAATAGGAAAGAAATATTAACTGCTTACAACCTAACTACTTGACCGTGTAGTGGCGGTGTAAGAATATCCATTACCCTACATTGTCCCATTAACAAAAGGTAACAAACCAGCCGTGATGGACAGCAGCGTCTTCCTAGTAATAACAACTAAAAAATTTAAAAAAAAACTGCGGTTGCCAACTCGCCGGCCAATTTTGGCGACTATGGCAAATATCCCCCTATGAGGCAATTTATGAGGCCTATGTTCAGCTGTGGAGTTTTGATAAGCCGTAATGAATCAACGAATGAATAATGTCTTAACTCACGAACTCACTCACAAAAATCATACGTCATTAACGTATGATTTTTGATGTCAATGGTATTCCAACTTGATTGCCCACTAAACTAATTTAAATTTTACTTTAAATCAAAGGAATCAATAAAATTGTTAATCTGTGTACTGTGTTGTACGATGAGAAATTGTGTGTTATGAGAATAGTGTGTAGATATTGTGACCAGCGTAAAGAATACTTCGTTGTTTTGGAAACGTAGAAAAAATTACTAAGGAGAAAGTGAAGTGAGAAGCGGAGTCGGCAAGGGAAGCTTTAGACGAAAGTTTATCGACCGAATTGGCGATACATTGAAAATGGAGCTAAGAGTACATTTAACCGACGAGCATGTTTGCGTAGAATTAAGAATGAGCAGAAAGCGAGAGGTGGGATCTTTTCAAATGGAAGTTCCCTTCGCCTCTGGATGACAGGCGTGGAAGTTGACGTATATATTTATGTGGATCAATTAAAAATTGCACAATTTTATTATTACCATAGAAACGCCATTTTATTTACAACTTAAATATAATTTTGTTTTAACACTTAAAGCTGTTATTTGTAACTTTTAAATGGTTTACAGAAGAAAACATAGTTCTTAGTGCATGAATAACATGAAACAACTATCGTGTATTAATTTTACCCCTGTGTCTGAAGCTATTTCAATCGGGTAAAATTGAACATAAGGAAATAATTCATCCTGCTAGAATCTAAAAAAAAATCTTTCATACAAATTATTACAAAAGGTGGTAAGTATTTTAAATCAAAGAAAAATGCGATCGAAAATTTAAGATATTGGTAACTGAAGATAAATTAATCATTATTATTATGGATATAGACGTATTGAACACGAATTTCGTGGTCCCATTACTTTTATTTTTATATTAAAACTTAGCATATTTTGTTCTTTATATTTTAAGGCAAAAACAAATTTATTTTTTCGACAAGTCAAGTGGTAAATACGAATACTAATAAATACTGAAAGTAACGTAATATAGCAAATACAAAATTAAAATATAAAGTATTTTTTCTAAAGCTTTTAGATGATTTTTTTTTTAACATAAATGCTTCAACTGGAGCAATCTACAGACTAATGTGAGGTCTACAAAGACAAAGAAAGACACTTATACATACTAATTATATTAATATGACATAGCCTCAACATTACATGTACGAAAATTCTCTAAAATAATATAATTAATGTTTTTATAAAACGCTAACACGAACACAAGTGAACATTTAGTAAGTGAATATTTTATACTGATATAGGGTACATATATACATAAATAATATAATTTTAGGGCGTCTTATAATTAAGGCGGTTTTAAAAAAAAATGTACGGTGAACTATGGAAGCCGCGTATTTACGCGACCAGCAGGCCTATTCGGTAACTTTGTTTGCAAAAAAATAGTACATTGCGTCGTATGTTTTGTGAACCGCGGTAGCTTATAGAAAAGTTATAAAAATACGCAATGTACTACAATGTTGCTTGCCGGTTTTTGTATGTACCTAGTATTTAATTGCAAGTACGCGGACCTGAAATACTCTTAAGACTTGGAAGAATTTTAACTGGTAACTCCCATTCGTTCGAGGTGTGGCTTCGGTTGCTTTCGGTGAAATGCTTTAACGTATTATGAGCCCAGTCAATGTGAATTAAACACGGAGCAAATACAAAGAGGAGACGGCCTAAGCAACTGTGCACTGTAATCCTAACTAGGTCCTGACGTCATCACAGTGGGCGTGGCTTTAGTTAGTATACTGTCAGCGTTCGTCCCGTACGCTTATGTGTCGAAAATCGCAAATAGGTGCATTTTCGTAGTATTAAAAAGAAAAGGATAATGTGTTGTGTTTTATCGTGTAAAAACTACTCAGATAGAAGCTCTGATACTATGGATGGCATCATATTTCATTTGCAAGTAATTTTATACCTAATTTATTAAAATAGTTCTAGAAAAATCTTTGTGTCGGCTTTCAAATATAATTAAATATATTCGACAATAGATGGCGACACTGTGTCATGGGAACACTTATAACAACATTAATAATCACTTTAATCTTGAAATTACTCAAGTTTAATAATCAAATCAAATCCAATTTTGAAAAAAAAAATCATGGTGTATTTTGACGACGTGACATTGTGATACAAGGGATCTTAAAATTTAAAAAAAAGGTAAGACGTTAAAAAAATAAAAGCGTGCAATTGCGCACGGGCTGTCACACCACTATGTTATCAAATATGATTATCTAGCGCATTATTAACGTGTCCTATCACAAACAGCGTAAAATAGCAGCTTAACGCTGCTGTGTTTCGTATGGTGAGTGTAGAGAACCGGAGACCCTTTTTACTGGCAAAGAGACATTCCATCTTAATCCTCACGGGTGACAACGCATCTGCATCTTGAGTCTTTATTGAGGATAGATGTAGATGTCTATGGGTCACAGTAACCACTTACCATCAGGTGGACTGTGTGCTCGTTTGTCACCCTATCCTATAAAAAAAAAAAACAAATTAAGAAACTTATTAAAATGTCCACAAAAACAACAACAATTAAAACTTAAAGGAGGTGTACGCGAAAAACGAAAATTAGGTCAAGCGACTCATGAACCATCCCCAAGGACGCCAAGTGACGTACTTTCTTACTAGCCGTCGCACGCGCCAGAAAAATATGAATTTCGACACCCCGTCCCATTTCTTGTCACTTCGCGCATAGAGAATTATGCCTTAAGTCATTTATTTTAAGAAAATTTTTGGCTTGAAATTGTTTTCACACACCCGCAACGCGCGGTCCCTTTGTTTTTAATTTCGCGAATAAAATTATGCCTTAAATTGTTAGCCGAAGTATATTTTTTGCTTGATTTTTTTCTTTATTTGAGTGATTCGAATTGGCAACGTTTAAACTTCGCCTTCAAATGCCATAGGTCTTTGACCTTCTAGTATTCATCAGGTGATATCTGTATGCATTTACATTACATAGGATGTTATTTAATATTAAAATGCAAAAAATGCTACTGCGACTAGAGTATTAATTGTTATATATTTTTTTTACTTGTGTATGTTTAAAAAAATTTATGTAGGATACGTCTTTTCATTTAATGTGATAACTTTATCGTCACTCGGTATAGTGAAATATACTTACAACCCCTTTTTGTATTTGCTCCGTGGAATAAAACCCCGTCGAAAAAAAAATTATATGGATCATCCACTGATCGATCAATCGAATTAATTCCAAAGTTTCGAAGTGTAGTATTTTTCACAAATACGATTTTGCTCTTTATTAATAGTAGCACACAGATCAATTTCCTATGCAAATAATTTTCCTTTCAAGGTGTAGAAGTATTTTTTGCAAATACGATTGTGCTCCTTATTTATATAAGAGGACGGATCAATTTTTTATGCAATATTTTTAATTCCGCTTATTTTCAAATGCAACTGCAACTACTCGAAAGTATTCGAACTCTGGTTTTTGGCGCAGATATTTTAAGGTGGACATACTGTGAACTGAATCCTACCAGTTCATCCTATCAGAAATTTACCGCTGCGAATCTCATTTGATACCCTAATCAAATATCCGCCTTAGAAAATTCATTTAGGGAAGCGAAAAATTGATAAAAAAAACCGATAAAGCAAGCTTTTTAATTATATTAAACAAATACCCCATTTCATAAGCCTGCGGTGATTGAACAAGTACTTTATAGCGTTTGAAGTTACTAGTTAAATCCTGACAATTTTGGCTTATTCTAAAATTATATTGCTAAGAATTTTAATGTGAAATTTTCCAAAATTTTCTAAATGCTCCTTTTTCTAATAAGAATGGCGGACAAAGGCATTTTATCACAGAAATCTTGATAAAATACATAAAAAATATGCAATTACTACCTACCTTACTATTTTTCAGATATTTTGCCAATAATTTTGGAGATATGTAATGTGAGAATTAAGATGGCAATTTAAAAACATAATTACGAAAACATATGATAAAATTTGACACAGAACTTGAAACTTCAAAGCGATAGTTTATATAAAATTATTTGACACTTAATTTTTTGTACTATTCATTATACGCTCCAAACTATCCACCTGTATTTGAGTACCAGCATATTATTTTAACTGTCTATTTCAATTATCTACGTAAAATAGTTTCATTTTTTAAATATGGAACACTAATATAGCATTTTGTTTGTTAACCGCCTAATTAAAGACGCCCTTATAAGACCGATTCAATCTACTCTAGCTGCATTAACTACAGGTGTAAAACTTTCTTATCTACACAGCGTAGCATCGATCTGCTGCAGCGACGGCAGGGTCAGCTTCAGTTTCCTCCTATAAGCTGGATCCGATGCTAGAGGATTCCGTTCTAGATATATTGTAGCTAATTTCTTGTTCTGTTGCAAATATTCTACTGATGACCAGTCCGATATTTGATTGTCGTTCAGCTGGAAGTATAGTTATAATATATATTATGTTTATTTATACTGGCATATTACATGACGCCGTAGTAGTTCAGGGGCGAAGCGCTCGCCATAAGTACGTGATGCGAGCATGTTTCCAGGAACCAGGTTCATTCCCATTGACACTAATGAAATTGTTCATTACAATTTTATGTGCTTATTTACATCGTGCTTGGCGGTGAAGGAAAGCATCGTGAGGTCTGAGGAACCTGCAAGACATGTGAAATCAGCCAAAATTCACTGGAGCAGCACAGCGGACTAATTGCTATATAACCCTTTACGAAATAAAATGTGCCCAGCTGTGGGACGTATATAGTAAAGATGCCGCGAATAATTGTTATAGCGAATAGTCGAATACCGATTAACTCGTCATTATTATTCGACTTAAAAAAAGTTATATAAAAAATAATTAATTTTTTGTCAAATAATTATATCTGTAGTAGTCTTGAACTTACCAATCATTTATTTGTAACTGTTATCTAAAATGTTTCTAAGATTATGAGAAAAGAAATAAACGAAGTTAAAAAATCAATCTCATATTATACTGATTTTACATTTTTAAATGCTGGCAACCCGTTTGCTGTACCTATTTAATTAGTTTGATTGTTTTTAAGTCTGTAGTGTTTTTGTTCATTAAAGGTTTTTGTTAGTCAACTATTCGCCGAATGTCGAACAATACTAGGTATTATTCGGTATCTATTCGGTATTCGCCGAATAACAAAAAATGTCGAGTAATGCCGAATACCAAATAATAGCGAGTATTCGCGGCATCTCTACCTAAATAGTCTTTATCTTCTTAGTTCAATGTTAGACGGCTCCGTGGCGCAGTGGCTTAGCAATCAGTTGTTGCGCTGGGGGCCGCGGGTTCGAATCCCGCACGGAACAAGTATTTGTATGGCCTACAAATAATTGTTCCGGGTCTGGATGTTTGTCCTTGTGCAATTTATGTTTGTAAACTGCCTCCACGACACAGGAAAAAATCCTAGAGCGGGGGTGACGTTTTTAAAAAAAAAAAGCTATAGTACTTCAGGGACTAGGCGGTCGCATTAAAGTAATTTTTCGCGAACAACTTGAGATTGATCTCAGGTGGTCCAAATAAAAATGTTAATTGCTATTTTAAGCGCTTTGCTTTAATTTACCACGTGCTAGTGGTAGTGCAGTGTATTAAGTTATATAACTCATTTTCTGCGTAGCAATTTGTCAGCTGACTGCATAATAAAATCTGTTAATCCATTGTCTCACAAGTGTTAGGTTATGTATAAGTAATACTGAAAATTTTTATGACAACATGCCTAAAAATTCAGACTTTTCAAAATGAACAACTTCCAAACAACCAAGATGTCCAGTACTGTAAGTGTATATACAAATGCAGAGACTTACGACCATTGTTAACTTAAATCTTAATGTCACACAGAGGATGTATGGAAAGCAATCAGATTATTTATGTAATTTTAGAGTTTTAATACACCCAAGATTACCGTGTAGTGGCGGTGTATGAATTTACACTACCCCATATAATCCTGTGGGTGTCGTAAGAGGCGACAGAGGGAAACAAATCAGGAAATGGGCAACGGCGTCTTCCTAATAACAACTAAAAATAACAAACTGTGGTTGCCAACCTGTTTGTCAAGTGTGGCAACTATGGCAAATATCTATCTATGTCTATGAGGCAATCTATGGGGTAGGCCTATGTTCAGCAGTGGACTTTAATATGCTGTGAAGGTAACGATAATGGAATACACCCTATATTTGCCGCATAATATATTAATGGTAACAAAGCATTCCATCTTAGTCCACATGAGTAGTAATGCTCATGTGGACTAAGATCTGCATTGTAATTCTTAATTGTAGTTAGATGTAAGTGTTTATGGGCTACAACGTCCACTTACCATCAGGTGGACCGTGTGCTCGTTATCACTGTTACCTTTTAAAATGAAAGTATAAGATTTGAATCATGAAGTTATATATAACATACCCATAATTCCTCAAGATCGCTCATATGTCTTATATTCTCTATAACAGAGATCCTATTCATGGCTAGATCCAATGTCTGAAGTTTGACTTGACTACCCATGTTCTCCATCACTGTTATACCATTCTCAGATATGTATAGCTGCTCTAAATTGGTTAATTGTTCCAGATTCTCGATCTTCGTGATTCGGTTGCTTTGCAAAACCAATATTTCGAGACCCGTAAGATCATCTAGGTTCTGGATTTTGGTTATTTTATTCTTACCCAAGTAAAGTTGCTTCAATGACTTTAAGCCTTCAAGATTTTTTATTTCCTGTAGATAGAGAAAATGGAATTATTAATTCATATAAATAGTGGTGGCGTGAGAGAATCCGTCACGATTTTCGTCTTGTGGATGTCAGGGGTGACTCTAGGAATATGTCAAAAAGTCTGCCTTTCCCTGACTTTTGCTTTGCCATTGCCAATCCCACTGCCAAGCATGGCGATTAAGGGAAATTCTTCCCACAATGGAAGAACCTCATTGCATTTAACTTTTATGGATGGGTAAAAAAGAAGAAGCCTTCATATAACGGACGTCACTATTTATAAATTATTTCTACCTATTCAGTTACATAAAAAGTAGTTATTATATTAAAAAAAAAACAAATTAAATTATTACTATTATTACTAGTAATAATTGGACATTTCTTTGTACGCAACACCAATATTGCACAAGATGCAATTAACGCCTTTGTACTGGGTTTGCAATGGGCTGAAGAGAATGGTGCATCCTACAACGAACTTTTACTTTTGAGAAGACTGAGGAACAAAGCTTTAATCTCACGTTTCAACAATGTTAAACAAAAAAGAAAATGACGAATATTTTCACGCTTCTTAAATTGATTGATTCATAATTTTTGATTATTTTAGTATGTACATTTGTTTGTACACAATTATTTCCTAATGTAAAGTTATTGCATATTTTTTGTAAGTTCTATAGCATTAATGACGTTAATTTTATAATAAAATGTAAGCTTTGTGTTGTTTAATTTACTAAATTTGACATACATAATGAAGTATAATTTATAATAATAATTAATATTCTAATTAATAATTTTTAATACTTCAGAGTACATATATATAACATATAGAATCTTATCATTGGATCTGGAATTTGTCGGATTACAAGGTACTATTTTATAAAAAATTCCGGACTATAGGGAGTCTTAGGCAGTACTCTATAATCCGACAAATTCGATAGTCTGACACTGCCCTGCAAAATGTTTGTCGGAATACCAGGGGTCCACTATACTTTTTTTTGTTATTTATCATGCGATCAGTCGATGGATGTATCATGTAGATTGGTTGTAGGACAAATTGGCGTGCAGAGAAAACATCCCCAGAGGGAAGCACTCCATAAGTCTCAGCTATACATTGTCAAGTATATGCCTCCTCTTTAAGCGACGAATCGCTTGTGGCATTGTCAACTGCCATGCTAAGTGATTTATATGGTTGCCAAGTCTTGTTTTGTAGTTGCAGCTATAGTGCCTAATTTCTTCCTTAACTGACTGCATTTTAAGGTGTTCATGGATTTCAAATATTCTTATGAACCAAGGTGCATTTGAGTTGTTTAAGTATGTAGTTTTCGGTTCTTTGTATGATTTCGATGTTGGAGGCACATGCTGATCCCCAAAGTTGTATGCCGTATGTCCATATCGGTTTAATACTGGTTCATATACTTTTAATTTACTTATTATCTTAAAAATTTACATTTAAAACTATGTTACACTAAAATAATAACCATACCCGAATGCGATTGTCGCCTAGCTCCAATGATTCCAGTTTCGTCAGGTGATTTACATTTTTAATTTCAGTAATTTTGTTAGAACTCAAAAATAATTTCTTTAAATTCAACAGTTTCTCTAAGCCTGTTATCTCCTTGATTCTATTGAAAGACAGATCTAGAATTCTGCAATGGAAAAAATAGGAGAGTATAATGATATTGTTTTTGTGAAAAATATTCTTTTATGAAATTTTATAAAAGTCCTGACTTCATATATTCATCATTAAGCCCTTCATAAGTCATAATTTTTTATCTTCTTTTTATAGAATTAGGTTGTCAAAGGAGCACACAGTCCACCTGATGGTAAATGAATGCTGTGGCCCATAGACATCTACATTTATATTCGATTGAGAATCAAAATGCAGATGCGTTTATCACCCCTGAGAACTGAGATGGAATGCCTCGTTTCCAGTAAAAAGGGTCCCCGGTTCTCTACACTCACCAAACGAAACACAATGTCATTAAGTTGCTATTTTACGCTGGTATTCTGTAAGAGGGTGGTCTCAGTCTAGCAGACCCATTCGTGCTACAACCATAATATAAACGCAGCATGGCTCTACCACCTTCATAATGCCTAAAGAACTTCTAATAGTAGTAATTATATAAAAAAATTAACAACTTACTCCAAATTAACAAGTTTATCCAAATTTTCTATGACAACAATTTGATTGTCATACAACTCAAGCTCAACTAAAGTAGTCAGTGTGTCTAGACCTTCAATCTTTTTTATAAGATTCCATCGCAAATATAGTCTGAAAGAAAAAAGTATGTTCTTATATCACCAATGGGTCTTGTTAACTTGGTTGTAATCAAATTATAACCACTTTGAAATACAACATTGCGTCATAGGCTATATCACATTTCTATAATAACTACCACAATTCATAAAACAATGATACAATATGTAGTGACAAATTTAATAGTGATTTTAAAATCCAGAGGTTCAGGGGGTAGTAAGACGTAGTAAGCCTCACCGGTTTATGTTATTGTATGTTGTCCCACTTAAGGGTTTTGTATTGTGTATATCAGCATTTTTAACTATAGTTTATTTGTGTTAAGAAAAAGTATGTGGAAAATAGTGAGTCATCGTTACCCGCTTGCCTAGTTACGCCGCCCAAAAAAAGACCTCTGATGTACACGATTGATAAATTAGTTGAATTAAATAAATGTGCAGTAAGAAGAAAAGTCCATTCACTGCATTTAAATAACGACTACACTACATTAGATAAAAGTATGACACTTTGTGAAGCTGATGAAGATATTCCGACTGTCAAATGTATCACACTTCGAAAAATATTCCATGAGCTTGGATTCGATTTAATAAACGGGATAGCAGATCATTGTTAGAAGAAATATTCAAGAAGAATTGTTTATCGGTCCAAGAGCTCCTACAGTAAAAGGTAAAAGGTTGATTGTTTTCCAGTCTGCTAGTCTTTGAATCTAAATCAACAAAAGATTATCACAACGAGATAGATGGTGAAAGATTCCTTAAGTGGTTCAAAAATATTGCACCTAAACTAGAACATGGAAGTGTTGTCATGAACAATGCTTCCTATCATTCCATCAAACTTGAGAAAATACCGACAACCGGTTGGAATAAACAGCAAATGATAAACTGGCTGCAAAGCAAAGGGATATCCATGGACATGAGTTATTTAAAAAAGAAATTACTATTGAAACTTGCTGAAATCACCCCACAATATAATACAAAGATGACACTGAAAGTTCTTAGAAAATCAATAACTGAACAAACTGGCAAGTTATTAGTTTTATTAAATCTTTTCAAAATAGTGTCCATTTACATCAATACATCGCTGCATCCGATGGAACCACTGAGAAAAGCACTTTGCCTACTTGTCCTTAGGGGTCTCTTTGACGGTATTTTGAAATGCAGCCACAGCTTCCTCGGCGTCCATAAACGTTTTCCTCAAAGTTCTTCTTTTATTTTCGGAAATAAATAAAAATTGCAATATGCGAGGTCGGGGCTATAGGGCGGGTGACCCAGTAATTCCACGTCTGACGTCACCAAGTAGTCGATTGTTTGCTTGGCGGTGTGTGACGAGGCATTGTCGTGGTGAAGGAGGATTGTATTGCGAGGTTGTTTCTCCTGAATTTTTTCCAAGACAAGTTGCAAACAATTGTTAGTGTACCACTCTGCAGTAACTGTTTTTCGATACTCTAAAACAATTGTTGCGTAATGACCTGTCCTTCCGAAGAACAAGGCCACCATCTTTTTTCCCACACTTCGACCTCTCTTCACTTTAGTTGGCAACTCCTTGGAAGGAAACACCCAGACAGCAGACTGTCTGTTAGTTTCAGGATCATAACAATAAATCCAGCTTTATAAACAGTGGCATGAGGTGGGGCTTCATCGTGAAAGGCCAATCGAAGTCTATCATAACTTTCTTGTTGACTTAAATGACATTGAAAGTCATAAAAATCATTGTACGAAAATTTTCTCGCATTATTTTCATGCTGACGTGACACAGACAATTTTCAATTTACTGCCAAATCGTAAACAAATGACAAATTAATAAAATACATACACAATAATATAGGCAAAGAGTTCCATTTTCAACAATTTGAACTTATTTTTTATTATATCGTTTACAAGTGGCCAGTTCTAAAAACTTTAAGTGTACCCCTCGTAACTATTTAGTCTATTAAAATTAATTGAATCCCATCTCCGACTGTCACCATACCACTGTAAAGTAAATCCCATTAAGTTGATGTGGGCCCAAATAAAAAATTAAGTTGGTGCCAATAACTTAACATTAAAGATGAGTCATGTAAAAACATTATTTTATTACAACATAATGTTAATAAACGCTAATCAGTAGAAGCAATGCTGCAAACATATGATACCAGAAAAAATTGCCATGTGGAATTTAGATGACGTCATAGAACATGCAGAACAAAATTCTTTAATAATAAATATGAACAAAGATTCTAGTGATACTGATCAAAATATATTATTAATGATTTTCTCTATTTATTAAACTTTATCTTGTAAAATATAAATTGTCTGAATTTTGACTCCTCTGTGTATTCACCTTTAACATACAAATGCATTGATGACTCACTATTTTCTTAACGTGCATAAACTATAACTGCTTTCCATTTACATAGACATATAAAAAGTACAAAAAGGCTGTAACATCAAGGCCTATTTCAAATCTCTTCATTTTCTGTAATTAATACACTTTTGTAATGTTAAAAAGCAAAAATATTAGGCAACAGCTTCCATATCATTAAGTGTTATGCAAATTGAGAAAGCTTTATTATTTTAACCATACTGTTTCAACTAATTGAAGAATAAAAATACCTTTCCAAATTCTTCAAAGGCTCTAGATTCTCAATCTTTCCAATCCTGCCGTGATTTAAGTCGAGTTCTTCAGTATTTTCATTAACAATAATAATCTCTTGAGTGTCCATATCCGCTGGTGGCGGAGGACTTGGCGGTTGCGGAGAGCTTTCATGTTCCATCTTTTGGTCTTCATGATTACCCGGGACTTTAGTCGTAATGTTATCAGCTTCGCTATTCGCCATTGGTATATCTTGATTTTCTAAAAATTATTTTTTAACATTAATTTCTAAAGATTTGAATTGTGTTACTATCATGATTCAAAAGGTTTGTAGTCATACCTGCCATATTTCACAATTCTTTCCTTTATTTAAATATATAAAGATGTATGTATTAATATCGCATAAAAATTTAAAATTACGGTGTTGGTGGTGTTTCAATATTTATATTTGCGCATGGAAACCGCTCACTCGTATATTATTACCTTTTTTTTGTCAGCTTGACAGCTTGACACCTTGACAGTAGACTTTAAAATATCGATAAATCGATAGTTTCGATATTTTTAATAGCAGTATATCGATATTTATTTTAGTTAATTAATTAAAGGATTATAATTAGTGAATTCGTATCAATTTAGATATATTTTAAAATGTTATATTAATTGACAAAATATTAAGCAACAAAAGCAGCTACAAAAGCATTTATGTGCTGTTGTCGTTTTTTTTGTCGTGCAACTGTCGGTAAGAAAATGTTGGCCCTTATCGTATATAATATGTATCATTCAAAACATGACGAAATACATATTAATATTCATCACGCGATATATGTCAATAGTGTTAAAAAATGTCGATACGATATATATCGATATTTTTTTTCCTAGCCCATTGCTACTGAACAGTTGACACCATAAATAAAGTTGACACACTCAAAAATTCAAACACAGAATATATCCATGTCATAGATATAGAGAGAATGGACTGTTCGTTCCGTATTCAATTGTGCAGTGAATACAGACCGAAAAGTGCAAGAGAGACAAAGCACAGCTGATTGGTCCCCGTCACTAGCTTGCAGGGCGTGGACCAATCAGGACTGCAGGAAAGAGACTTGTATTAGCCGCACAGTCACTTTGTCTCTTTCTAGAAAATGGTCACTTTTATGAGGTTAACATTTAGTCCATTCTCTATGTTTATAACCTTAGTGATGCGTTAAAGGAGTTTTGGCGGGAACTTGAACTGTGGAGGTTTGCTGCTCTTGTATTATTGTTGAAATAATGGTTTGATGTGGATTTTAATATATAAAAGTGGTGCGAGTTAGTGTATTAAGTGTTTGCGCATGTGAACTATTAGTGGAAACGATAAAACAAGTGCTCTGATGGTGATGTGATTCTCAAGATAAGGTGTGTGTCTACTTAGGCGCCTTGAGATACAATCGCTAACTGTCAGCTAGCTGCTGGCTCAAGTTGCCGTCAAAATCTCCCTAGAGCTGCACAATGTAGGGACTTAGGGACCTTAAAGAAAAGAGGTCAAGCCTTTCTAAAAGGCCGAAAACGCATCTGCAATTCCCCTGGTGTTGCGGTTGTTCATGGGCAGCGGTGGTCACTTACCTTCAGGTGAGTCGCATGCTCGTTGGCCACCTCTTCTATAAAAAAAAACAATGTGATGCATCAACATATTGTGAAGCAGTGTACTATGAAGGATAATTATACATTGTAATTTCAGGCTCAGAAGGGCTAGAACCCAGAGCCATATAACCAGTTATAAAACAAATGATTTTTTTAATTTGCTTTTTAAGGGCAACATACAGTACAATAATAAATTACATGATGAAACATCTAAAAGTAATTCTAAAAACCAACGAAGTTTCCACCGATATCGCATCATTCATCATTACAGCCCTTCACAAGTCCACTGCTGAACATAGGCTTCCCCCAAGGAATGCCACAAAGCACGGTCCTGAGCCACCTGCATCCATCAACTTCCTGTATATCTTACCAGGTCGTCACTCCATCTAGTGGGCGTACGCCCTACACTTCGCCTGCCGGTACGAGGCTGAAAATCGAGACACTTTTTTCCACATCGGTTGTCGGTTCTTCGAGCTATATGGCCGGCCCATTGCTACTTCAGCTTACTAATCCGTTGGACTATGTCGGTCACTCTGGTTCTACTGCGGATATCCTCATTTCTAAGTTTATCACGCACAGAAACTCCGAGCATAGCCCTCTCCATAGCTCGCTGAGCGACCTTGAGCTTCCTCATCCGGCCAGCAGTAAAGGACCACGTCTCCGTTCCATATGTCATCACTGGCAACACGCACTAGTTTTACAGTTTCGTTTTCAAGTTTTGAGGTATACCTGACGAGAAGATGTGCCGTAATTTCCCGAACGCTACCCAACCGAGTTGAATCCGTCGATTGACCTCTCGGTCGAAGTTGTACTTACCTCGTCGGACTATTTGTCCCAGGTAAACATTATCGTCAACAACTTCGAGCTTAGTGCTCCCAACAACTACCGGCATAGGTGTGACATGGACATTAAACATGATTTTTGTTTTGTCCATGTTCATCTTAAGACCTATCCGTTGGAAAACACTATTGAGGTTATTGAGCTTAATGCTTAGGTCCTCCAGCGATTCTGCCATAAGGACTATATCGTCGGCAAATCGAAGGTGAGTGATGTACTCGTCATTGATGTTGATAACGTATCCTTTCCAGTACAGAAGCTTGAAAACGTCTTCCAATGCAACGGTGAAGTTTCGGGGATATGACGTCACCCTGTCTTACACCTCTCTGCAATTGGATAGGTTTCGTACTCTGGTTCTGTACTCGGATAGCCATCGTAGCCCTACTGTACAAGCACTTCAACACTTCGATATACCGACAGTCAACTGGCACCGCTGAAGGGACTGCAGCACCGCCCAAATTTCGACGGAATCAAAGGCTTTCTCATAGTCCACATACGCCAGTCTGGCGTATGTGGACAGACATAGTGGCAAATTGTACTCCTCGGACTTCTGTACAATTTGCTGAAGGGTATGTATGGATCATAGATATCTAATACATAATAAAGCTTGCCGCCTCAATATTATGTTGTATAAAAATTAAAAATATAAAAGAATAAAACTAACTAAATGGTATTTATAAATTAAACATTAATTACTAAGCAGTGAAAAGTAATATAACTTATGTAACTTAAAATGAAACTACCAATTATATATTAATTTTTACAATATTTTTTGTAACTATATAATAGTTACAAAAAATATTGTAAAAATTAATATATTCAACGTATTTTGACGGCAACTTGAGCGCCTATTCAAATGGACACAATATCTTGGATTGATATCACCATCGGAGGACTTGTTTCACCGTTTCCACCAATGGTTCACATGCGTAGATATTGAATACACAAAATCGCACCACTTTTATATATCAAATTCCATTTCAAACCATTATTTGAACAATAATACAGGAGCAGCAATCCGCCGACGGTGGAGTTCCCCCCGAAATCCCAAGAATCTTAGACGTGCCATAATTATCTATATAAAATATACATTATATGACTATCATACGACACGAAATAGAAATGGTATATAATTATGTTTCTTTCTAACGTATGTGATTCTGCTATTGTGAAAAGAGAAAACTTTATTATGTCAGTTCTCTTATCTTGTAATACTGACCATATTACGTCACCTTATAGGGTTATTTCAAAACATGTGTAGAGCTTAACTTTAAAGAATAAGGTGCGAAAGGAGAGTCATCAGCTTGCAAGCAGTGCGGTATCAGTACGTTGAAGTAAAAAGGGTTTTGGAAGAAGAGTATCGACACAACTCATCCCGTTGCAAGTTTGGAAGATAAATCACTTGCAGCCAATTTGGATAAGTTCGCGTTTTTGCTGTCTTTAGTCATTTGGTACGATGTTTTATTCTACGCTAATCTTGTCAGCAAATCTATGCAAGCAGAGTGCATAGATTTAATAGATGTTACAAAAATAATAAACAAATGCTTAACTTTTTTGAAAGAATATACCTAGAGACAAAGTATTAACAAAGGCTCTCATTGCAGCTAAAAATACCGCTGAAAAAAGCTCAAAGTTTGAAAGAATCCGCGAACGAAAGAGAAGAAAATGTTCTTATAGTCCAGAAAGGCCGATTCCTCCATGAGCATGAGTACCGTATTGGTACTCACCTTACCGTATTCTACCTTTTTTTTTGCGATTCTCTTCAAGTTGTCCTACTGATGCTAACAAAACTGGCTGAACCAGGGATTGAATACCGGTACCAATTTCGGTTCTGGTTCTTCATTTAGGTTCTTATAAAGGTTGCCCTTTTCGGCACGGTTCCGGTTCCGGTTTGGGCTCCGATGTACCGGTTCCGAGAACCTTTAATCAAATCTCTCCAAATACGTAGATTGGTATAAAAAATTCCGTAGATACTATTTCAAAATATCCGTTCCATTGAAGATCGACAATATTTGTTTTTGTCATAGAATAGATTAATTTTTTGGGAAAAATTATTTCTGTCATGGAAAATTCTTGTTGTATAAACTTAAATTGTAGTATAATATGGCATGTAGTATAACATAACTTCCTCGTTGGTCTAGTGGTTGTAGTACTGCGACTGCTGATTATAAGGTCCCGGGTTCGAATGCCGGGTCAGGCCAAAAAAATCAGTTATTGAGTTTTTCTATCAAGAAATTCTCAGTAGCTGCCCGGAGTTAGGAAGTTAGCGGTGTCTCATCCCCATTACTTGGAAAGCACGTTAAGCCGTTGATCCTGCACTTGATCTCTCTCCGGTCGTGTCGGTTTACCGTCCCATCGGACTATGAGAGTGAGGAAATAGAGAGTGCACCTGTGCTTGCGCATACACTTGGGCACTATAATCCTGTCCTGCGCAGATGGCTAGTCTCCGTTAAAACTGGCCGCCGTGACCGAAATTCGGTCTGCAGGACATTATTATTATTATTAGTAGTAGTATAGCATCGAATCAAGCTGAATATATAAGTACCATAAAAAATTATTAAAAATTAACTGTTTTCTTTTAATTAAATAATCTTTAGTAAAAAACAAATAAAATAACTATACACATTTTAATATTTGTGGATAATTATACTAAAAAAATATTTTACAAACTTGATTATAACGATTTATTAACATAGATTTTATTTTCTGGTTTTTGTTAGTTTATTTGATATATTACGGTGTTTCAGACTCGGGTCATTTATGTAACAATGAAAAACTATACAACTAAAAACTTTGAGAAATTGGAAAAAAAAAAGATCGAGGAAAAGCGAAGACTTATTCGGCAGATTTTTTTTAATAATTGTAAAAACAATTAAGTCAGCATGGATTAGAAAATTTGAGACGTAAGTGATAATCCAATCATCTATAAAAAATTATAAGCGAGTATATTAACTACCTGTTTTCCAAGAAGTTTTTAAATTCGAAATAAACGTAATTTAATGCAAAATATCTGAGCTATTAAAATTTGAAATCGATAAACCTCACAAAAATTTGATATTTGTGAGCAAATATGGTTTTATTTTAATACAGATAGCATAGAATTAATTATTATATATAATTTAATACAGACAACATAGAAGAAGAGAGAGAGAGAATGACATTGTCGCCAAGTTCACACTCATGATAAAAAAATCTTGTTAAGTTTATAAAAATTCCGTAGATTGCCACCTCAAATTCCGTAGTTCCGTAGATGATTACAAAATTCCGTAGATCTACGGAAAAATCCGTAGAGTTGATATGCAACAGAAGATCCACCAATACAAAAGTTATGTTTTACAAACTCCCTTCTCCTCCACCCGACCGCACCCCAAACAGTTTTGACTCGCTTTCGCTTTGCTTAGGAACCGGTAAAATAAAGGTTCTTAAAGGTTCTAATTTAGGTTCTGGTTCCTGTTCCGCTATAGGCACCGAAACCCCCAAATACCGGTTCTATACCGCTATTTTGGAACTGTTTTCAATCCCTGGGCTAAACGAATAAAATATTAATAAAGTTATTGTGGGAGAGATTTTAAAATCGTATTAATAATTTATTATTAACTCTATAGATAAAAAACTGTTCAAAATTACAAATCCATACAGCATAAACATGCAACTATTGATTGCAAGTTCTATGATAATAATAATCGAATTGATTCAATAACGATTATTATACACCACCCCCATCCCGACAGTGAGCTGTCAAAATTATCAAGCCACCATGGAAATATATGTACTTCGTACAAACCAAGCTACGTATATAGTACTCGGTCATTGGTATTGTCATTCCATTGTCATTCGTCTTGATAAGCTTGGAGCATATTTTCTATGCTCGAAGTTGATACTTAATAAATAACAACTTGAGGAGTTTTGGCGGGAACATGACCGGCGGCGGGTTGCTGCTCCTGTATTATTGTTTAAATAATGGTTTGAAGTGGACTTTGATATGTAAAAGTGGTACGATTTCGTGTATTAAAAGTCTGTGCATGTGAACTATTAGTGGAAACGGTGAAACAAGTGCTCTGATGGTGATGTGATTCTCAAGATAAGATGACTGTCTGCTTAGGCGCCTTGAGATACCATTGCCAAATGTTAGCTGTCTGCTTGCTCAAGTAGCTGTCAAAATCTCCCAAGGGCTGCACAATGTAAGAAAATATTGTGAAGCAGTGTACTATTAAGAATAATCATACTTATACTATAACATCAGGCTAAGAAAGGCTAGAACCCAGAGCCGTAAAGTCAGTTATAAAGAGAAAAAAATGACAACTTGACATTGATTGATTGACACCTCAAAAATGTATTGTTTTGACTCCGCCAAAATTTGAAATTGCTATATTTTCAATTTGCATTTTACTAATAAACTATTAACAAAATGATATCATCATTTAAGTAAAATGTTATTGTATCTTGATAATCGTGGCAGTAATCTAAGCTTAGAATGGACCAAGAAAAACATTTCGATGGAGAAAAAGTAGAAAAATTTGATATAAAGATAAAATCTAAACCAAAAGATGGAGTTATATTGCAACTCCACCACACTGTTCGAGATTCACACGGTGAATACCGACGAATTCGTTTTTCAACTGCTGTGTTTGACGATGCTCAGGAAAAACTTGCTTGTGCTGATAATGCAGGAAATTTATTTATAATTGATTTTTGTGATTTAAAATTTTGGAAATTAGCTAATCGTGGCCTATGTACAGCTCTTCATTTTATACCAAACAAATTAGATGGTTTAGTTGTCGCCACTGCAGAGCAGTTCAGCCTTAATTTTATAGATGTAGAAACTGGTAGTAAGTCACATATGTTAATTGGGCACACAAGCCATGTAAAACACATTTCTTTTTCCAAAAGTAAGATGAATAATTTACTGACTGCTAGTCAAGCAGAAGCTATTTTATGGGAGCTCAAAAATTACACAAAGTATTTTACCCTAAATACATACTTAGGTGCTCAAATTCAACAAATAATGTTCACCCCAGCTGGTGATTACTTAGTTGCATGTTTCCAAAACAATACAGTTCAAATTTGGAAGCATGACACTATGAAATCAGTTAAACAGATAATACCGAGTGAATTAAAGCACATGAAAAATATTGCATTTACAATGAATGGACGGGCAATGGCTATGGCAGGGCTGGTACCCACTTTGATTTTATTCAGCATGGACACTTGGAAAGTTTTGAAGTCTATTGACTTGACTAAGTATAATATCAGAGGTGTTCAACAAGTTGCCTTTATCCCACAGTTGTTTGATGGTGGCTCTAATAAAATATTGGCAATGTTAAGTAGTGACTGCATTCTTCACTTATTGGATTTAGAAGCTCTTAAAATTATATACACAATTTGCCCTGAGTCATCAAGTATTAAAAAGATTGTTGTTAGTCAAACTGGAAAATTCTTTCTTTGCATTTTGCAGCTTGGAGAAGTTAACATTTACAACACCTCATTGGTTCTGGACATGGTAAAGAGTGCGATATTGGGCCCTGAAACAAAAGAGGTATCTACTTCCTCCACCATTACGTACAAGTGTAATCCCCAACAACATTCATTCAATAAATTAGCAGTTGAACAGAAGATGCGAGCCTGTATGGATAGCTCAAGGTTGAGGAGAATCCTGATGCAGTATGGAGAATATCCTGATAAATTTCGTTCTGTAATATGGAAGTCACTTCTTAATACACCTCGAAATAAAGTAGCATATTCAGCTTTAGTTGATAAGGGCATCCATCCAGCTTACAAAAATATTGAGAAACAATTTACAATACACAGTTCTATTACACTTAAAAACTTGAAAAGATTACTCTCTTGTCTTGCGAACTGGTGCCCTTTATTTGGAGTTATGAAATTTTTACCAGCTTTTGTCTTCCCTTTTGTTAAGGTATTACAAAAGGATCCCCTTCTGTTATTTGAATGTGTTGCTACAGTCTTAATGAATCACTGTCAATTATGGTTTGAATATGCACCATTCCCACCAATAAGTGTACTGGCTATGATTGAGAATATTCTAGCAGAACATGACCCACAACTTCTTGACCATTTCTGCCAGTTTGGGGTAACCAGTCAATCATATGCTTTGAAGGTCTTAGAAACAGCTTTCAGTGAGGTGCTTACTTGTTCCGAATGGTTAATTCTTTGGGATCACATTCTTAGTAATGAGCCTGCATTTATTTTGATGGTGGTTGTTTCTTATAATATTGTCCAAAAAAATGCACTTAGAAAATTAAAGAGTCACGACCAGCTTGAAAACTTTTTTCATTTGCAGAATCCCATTGATAAAAAGACATTTCTTAAAAAGGCTTATATATTATTGAATGAAACTAGTGAGGACATCCATCCTCGGAGATTTTTCAACAGCTTTGTTTCATTAGAGAAAGGTGATTGCTATCAACAGTTTACTGGATATCCAAAAGCTACAATATGTCTGAAATTAGCTAAAAATGAGAGAGAAAAGGCAACAAGTGCTAACAAATGTAGTTTGAGGGAATTGACAACAAGAAGTCAAGAGAAAATAATAAATGAGAGGTTGAAAAATGATTTTGATCGTGATGATAGCGATAAAGAATGTAGAGAAAAACACTTCAAAAAACATAGACGAAAGAGTTGTGTGCATTTGCAAAGCAAAGGTGACTGCAAAAATAACACAAAAGAAGAGTTGATAAACAGTATTTTATTTCCGCCTGAACTACGAATGCATTGTAAAAGAAATGCCGAATCAAAATGTAGTAGACGACAAAAAGAAACACCACGATCTTCAATGAAGAGATGTTCAGATAAGAAACGCATACTAGAGAAGGAGGTGGAAAAATTGGTAAAGAGAAATTCTGACATATCCGATTAAGACTAACTACTTTGCGGTACTTTAAATGTATAAATAGAATATTATTCAAAACCAGTAAAAAGGAAGCTCTTTGTAAATATTAAAAATAAAAAAACAATATTTTGTAGTTTTTATTTGTTTAGAATTTAAAACTTTAACAAATCGATCCTAAGTTGTATTTAATATTCTAGGTGTAAAATTATTCCTTCTTAGCAGCTGGTCTAGGTATTGTAGATTTGACATGACTGAACTTCTTTCTGGTAGCGCTGAGATTGGGGCTTGGTTCGAGGCTCACTTTTGGAACACGTACTGGCGTTACTATTTTCGGTTTGAACAAAGCTGGAAATGAGAGACGAGATGTTATAATCAAAATATAATAATCTATAGAGGCAATGTTACAAAGATGTTGTGGTCTCTCAGATCAATTCTCCAGCCGATCTGCGTAGTAGATTCTATTCTGTCCTAAAATAAACGAGGCCAGTAGCATATGATACATGATACGTATAAATTGTCTTCCCCTGTATGCGCGACTGCCCGTTTGGTCTTGTAGCCGTAAGCGCAATTGTTGATCATGTGGTATCGGGTTCGAATCGCGGGTCGGGCTAAAACTTAAGTATTGGGTTTTTCGAACAAGAAATGCTCAGTAGCAGCTCTGAGTCAGAAAGTTACCGATGTGTCGGTCTACTTAACGTGCTTCGGAAAGTACGGTAGGTAAATAGTTAGTCCTGCACGTGATCTTTCTCCGCTTGTGCCGGATATGCTATCTCATTGGACTATGAGAGTTAGGCAATTGATAGTATATTTCTGTTTGCGCAGTTACTCGTGCACTATAATCCTTCGCAGATGGCTAGTCTCCGTTGAGACTGGCCCCCGTGACCGATATTCGGTCTGGAGGACATCACATTTATTATTCTAGGCTGTTTCTTGTTTTTTGTTTTAAATTATAAAAGGACTCACTCTTAACCTCAACCTGTCTCGAGGGCAAAGATGAGGTCTACGATGGAGCAAGTTTGTCCAGGAAAAGCCTGTTTACACGCACACCTTGAATAGGTTCAGGTTATACGCACTCGGAAAAACAGACGCCGGCAGGGCATTTCACTCCTTGGCTGTGCGAATTATAAAAGATTACTTAGGTATATCGCTTAGTGCGAATGTTCGGAATGTAGGTAAAATAAGGAAGTGTAGATGGTAACCTGCAGTACGTCAGATACTCGGATAGTAGAATGGACATGGCGGTATGAGCTTATGAAACTCATACGTAGGACACTCAATAAGTTTTAAGATATACAAAAATTATTCTAGATACTATTAATATTTATTTAAAAATATTCTCCATCATGCTCTATACAAAGTTCCATTCGCCTAAACCAACTTTCAAAACACTTTTGCCAGTCTTGATCTGACAGGTCGGAAATCGCTTCTTCGTAGGCAGCCACGGCTTCTTCGGCGCTTGAAAAAAGCTTGCCTTTTATTTTTTTCTTTGACTCTTGGGAACAAAAATAAATCACAAGGAGCTAAGTAACGGCTGTAGGGCTGGTGACTTAGGGATTTCAACACCAGATTCCTAAATAAATGCTTTTGTTCTAAGGGAGATATGTGAAGAGGCGTTATCGTGATGCAGCATGATTCCCAGAAGCCCGGTCTTTGGTCTTCTCTCCCGCACAGTTTGAAAAGCTTTGGGTAATGCAACTGTAGTATACGAGGTCTTTGCAGTTTTGTCGGTAACTGTCCTTCTGAGTAGACCCATACCGATGATTGGATTGTATTTCCGGATCATATTGATAGATCCATGTCTCGTTACCAGTAACGATTTCTGAAACACGCCTAGATGCCCCGTTTCCAAAACGTAGACGCATGTCATGGTACCAATCCACACGAGTCTGTTTTTCGCTTTCGGAGAGCAAACGAGAGGTTCATCGACAACAAAGCTTTCTCACTCCAAGATGTTGATGTAGGATGGTATGAATGCTCCCCGAACTAATGCCTACAATCTTTTCGATGTCCGTATATGTGATTCGTGGGTTTTCTTGCACCAAAATTTCAGTAGTCCATACATTTTCTGCCGTTACTGCTGTTTGCGGGGCCCCGGTTCTTTGGTCATTGGTAAGATTAATTTTACCCCTTTTGAATTTGTTGCGCGTGATGGAGCTGAGTCCCCTAATGCTGATTATAACCGTTGTAAACTTAATTGTTCGTTAAACCAAATTTAAAATCATAATATATCATAGCGTGCAAATGTTCACGGTTATGATCCATCGTTTTAAATGAAAAGCGCGGGAAGCGTTGCAGGAAAATTAATAGAACTTTGGTTTTTTTTTTGATATTGAGCAATTTTCTTTTTAGAAACATATAACACGGGTGCGTTCCATTTTTAAATTTCGAGCATCTCAAAAATTTTTGAGTGACCTACGTAGACTCAATCTCCGAAGTATGTACAATCTGTAGAAGAATGTATGCATGTCTAGTTGTGGACTATTTGCCTGGTAACATTGTATCTACAACTGTTGTATTTTTTACACCATAGGTAATAATCCTGTCCGATTTCGACAACATACGAATAGTGTGCTAACACTATTCGTATGTTGTCGAGTAGGTAGTAGTTAAAATGTACATTATAACCACAGCTCATCAAATATTTTGTTATTGCCTCATATTTGCCATAGTTTCCACGCTTGGCAGTTGAGTTGGCAACCGCAGTTTATTATTAATTTGCGTTACTGTCATCTTACGACACCTACGGAGCGATATGAGGTTGTGTCACTATTGATTTTTACAATCTAGAACTATAGCAAATACAAATTGGTATTTTTTTTTACGATGAGTTTTAAAAAGACTCAAAATCATACCGTTGTGTTGTAATTTGCTACTTTTGTTTTCTTGGGATGTCGCAATTTTGGAGACGCCGGGATTGTCTTTTTTAAATTTAAAAATGTTTGGTGAAATTCGACGAAGTTTTGACATCTTTCCGTCTTTCGAAACAGGCTTATTAGTTACTAAATTGGAAGTGGATGCGCTCTCCGCCCGTTTGAGCCTTGATTTAGAAAAGTCTTCGATGCCGCTTCCCAAGGCTGAAAGATTTGGACTTGATGCGAACTGCGTTTTCGATGATTCAGCGCCCTATAAAGAATACAAATTCAATAATGTGTTTGTATATAATACATATTTGAACACTGTGCAGTGGCGGCTTAAGATAATCCTATCCATATCATTCAGTTGGTGTCGGAAGATGCGGCAAAGGGAAACTAAAAAAAGATAGGCAGCTGTTTCTTTCTGATAATAACTCAAAATAAAATAAAAACTGCAGTTGGCACCCACCCCGCGCCCCCCAGTCCAATTGTGGCAGCCGTGGTAAATATCACCTCTATGAGGCAATTTATGGGGGAGGCATATGTTCAACAGTTGACTTTGGACGCGATGCCATACGGCTCACCTGGGTGATTACAGGTGCATTGCCAGTCTTTTAAAAAGGAATAGCGAATGTCTTGCAAGACACTCGGGTCGGGAATATCGTTGGCGGTAGCCAATTTCACAAAAAAACCGTTGGATGAAGAAAAGTGCTGTTAAATCACATTGCGGTGGATCGCCAAGCATCCAGATGTAGATGGTATCGCGAATTTACTGCCAAGACACAGATTAAATAATGTTACTGCGTAAGCCAAGCGTCGAAACTATAGGAACTTCCCCATCAGTTCACCCGGTCTATGAGGTAACCTATTTTCAGCAGTGGACTTATGACACGGATTAAATAATGTTACTTAAGATAGGCTGTATTGAATGAATGGATACATATTTGGTGATATATGTACTTCCGGAAAACCTTGTCCGGCGTTCTAATGTCATAATGAGGGCTAATAATTTTCTGTTCACCAGATGTCACTAGCTGGCGCTGAGGTAAAGTTTTTTGTTACACAATGTAATTTAAAAGAGAAGTTTTTTTTTTAATAAAAGTTTATCAGTTTCTAGAGTATTATATTAATACACAAAACAATGCGTCCGTGGTTTGCTCTTTAATTTCTTGCACATTTTTAACTTTTTTTTATTTTATTTTTTTAACTTTTATGAATATCTGTGGTTTGATTTATTTATTTTTAATGTTTTTTTTTTGGAGTTTATGGCCTGGTATCTAGACCTTTAGGCCAAGTCTTAAGTATTTTTATTCGTTTTATTGTAATTTCCTCACTCCTTCATAGTATACTGCTTCACAATATGTTAATGCGTCACATTGTGCAGTTCTTGGGAGATTTTGGCGGTAACTTGATCCAGCAGACAGCTGATAGTTGGCGATGGTATCTAAAGGTGCCTATGCAAACAAACAGCTTATCTTGAGAATCCATCACCATCAGAGCACTTGTTTCACTGTTTCCACTAATAGTTCACATGCGTAGACACTTAATACACAAAATCGCAACACTTTTACATATCAAAGTCCACTTCAAACCATTATTTAAACAATAATACAGGAGCAGCAAACCGCCGCCGGTCAATTTCCCGCCAAAACTCTATTTTTAATGTTATTAATTTAAAATATAGATAATAGTATAAAAAGAAACATAAACCTTTACATTTTCCGACCAAATTAACTACCCCGCTATGAAATCTGTCAAATATTATTCTTCACTTTCTAGTGGCGCCGCCCTGGTGGCACAAAAAGTCGTGGATGCCCTCATTAGCACGGGTTACGTTCACCTTTTGAAGTATTCATTTTAAGAACTATACACAGAACGAGTTAACAGTGCCTTGAAGTCATAATCGCCGCGCTGGGCAGGCGAATTGGCGATCGCAGATCTTGACGTTTAGCAACTTCAACGCTGTTCCTATTTTACATTTGGTATTCATATAGTCTCATAGTCATCATCTTGCTACACTCACGAAACGAAATGGAGTGATCGATTATCTTACGCAACCAGCCCCTACCAATAATTTTTATTACCACTAATAATATCCATGCATGGATCGGCAACGACAGTTTTTTTTTTAAATTATTTTAAGTTATTAGTTGGATTCTAATACGCCGCCACTATACGTCAAAGCAAAAATTAGTATTAGAAAAAGAACAAACCTTTAGTATAGATATCTTAGAAACGTCCAAAACTAGTGAACACATTGAAGAATCATTTTTTCCATCTTCATTTATTTCTTTAACGATATTAGATAATTTATTTCGAAGGTCCTCTGCAGCTTTCTCAGCGGATATAAGAATTTCCAATATTTTATTATCGGGGCCTTGAATGGGACTAAAATCAAATATTTAATAAATTAATGAATTTATCAATTTTAAAAACGGAATATTTGTTAGGTAACCATAAATTGATTTTTTGCCGTATAAAAAAGGAGGAGGTTCTTAATTCGACTGTATGTTTTTTTGTATGATACGCGGTTTCCTCGTCAGCTGCGAACCGACTTTAATGATTTTTTAAAAATAATATAGGCTATACATTAATAGGTCATTTTATTATAAAACTAAGTGTCAAACGAACTTGCAGCATAATTTAAAACGAAGAAGGCTCAAAATGCGTTATGTCACCTCCGAGAACTAAAATGGAATGCCTCACAGCATGTAATTGTACTCAGCTCCCTATACCCTTCAAACCAGACCACAGCAGTGTAGCAACTGCTATTTGGCGGCAGAATCAGGTACGAGGGTGATATCTGTCCAGACGGACTCTCCTAGGCAGAAAGGGGGCCTTCCTCAAGTTGATGCTAAGACAAAGCGTATCGAAAAATTAAAGGCCTACCTACTAAGGGGTGCTGAGGCTCACACACACCTACATCTGTCCTTTTTACGTGGTAGAGCTAAGCTGCAGCTACAGCACCAATGGGTCAACTCGACTGGGGTGGGACCAAACTCTAGGAATGGGCAAGTAAAAAAAAAATATCGATATTTATCGTATCGATATTTTTAAGCAGCAACGATAATTATCGCGTAATAAATATCGATATATCGTCATGTATGCATGATGTAGTAAGATGAATAGCCAAAATTTTACTAACAGAAGTTTTGTACGACGAAAAAAGAAACGATTATTTATGTTACGAAACCAGAGTTGCGTTGTAAAATATATCGATATTGATACGAATACTCTTAAATAAATATCGAATATCGATATATCGCCATTAAAATATCAACGATAAATATAGATGTTTTGTGAGAACATATCGATATTTTCATATATCGATATTTTTTACCCAAGCCTACCAAACTCTCACAGAATACCAGCGTAAAATAGCAGCATAATTCTAATGTGTTTAGTATGGTCAGTGTAGAGAACCGGAGAACTTTTTTACAAGAAACGAGGCATTCCATCTTAGTCCTCAGGGGTTACAACGCATCTGCATTTTGATTCTTAATCGAGGATAAAAATGTAGATATCTGTGCGCCACAGCATCCACTTACCTTCAGGTAGACTGACTGCACGTTTTTCACCCTGATTCTATAAAAAAAACATTACTGAGAACTAAGAGGGAATACTTTGTTACGAGTAATTTTACTGACCATTTTGGGACCTTTTGTATTCTGTGAGAGTGTGATCCTTCAAAAAATTTAGCTTTCAAGTGTTATGGAGAAAATAGTTTGACGAGCTGCTTCAGTGCGTTTTGGCGGAACATGAAATAATATGTTATTCCGCAGACATGCAGGTTTTCTCACGGTGTTTTATCACTGAGCAAGTAGTAGGTACATTATCACATGAAATTGCAATAATCAAGCTAGCGAGATTTATAACCTGAACTACCACGGTTCTGAAAAACTAAAGAATACTAGCGTTAAAATATGTTTTACCTTGACGTCTTATTGCGCCGTCTTATGCTATCAGGAGTCGATGACAACGTGTACGTACTCTGTCTCTGGCACATCAGCTGAAACATTATTAGTTATTCCCGAAAACAAAATATTGCGGTGGAAATGAAAGAGGTAATTTTTATTAAAAGTAAAAATTTACATAAAGCCAAAGTATTGTAAATAATTGATTTTTTTTTTTAGTTTCTGTTTTAATAGACTAGTAATCCTAAGTGCGACTGATTATGATCATGTGTGTCTCGCGTTGGGCCGTCATTGTCGGAAAACACGTAAAAACGTTGGTTCTGCGCATGATCTCTCTCCGGTCGTGTTAGATTGCCATCGGACTATGAAAGTGGGAAAATAGAAAGATGCAATTGTGCTTGCGCCCTCACTCGTGCACTTTAACAACTTCCCTGTCCGCGAAAAAGACACAATATTATATAATAATATATAATAGTTCATATAAGACTCACGGGACAGAGAAATGGTGAATCCAGTACTGCACTGACCGCCATAACTAAATTTCGGTCTAAAGGAACACCAGTTTTTAGATTCAAATATTTAAAAATTAAATACTTATTACTTACTTTTTTATTATCCTGGTCGTTGGCATCGGTAGAGGATTTATCTGAAAGATGTTTCTGCAATAAACCAGGCGCTGGCAAATTCTCATCGGTCATATCTTTACCTGTGGTCAGTGTATCTAGGGAACGATAGCGAGTTGGGGTAGCCGACGGTAGTTGAAAGAGCCTTAAAAGTTTGTATAAAACGTTAAAATATATAAAATAAGTAATATTGAGTGTTGATGATCAAATGACAATGAAGAAATGAATAACGAATAATAAAAATAAACAAATACTTAAAATATTTTAATTTTGTCATCACCAAATTTCGACCCGAAATAAGAGGCAACTGAGGAAAACACGGAAAAAATTTTTAAGCCAGTATCTAGTATTTTTGCCAAGTGTAAAATACCCATATCTGCGACGGAAAGCAGCATCAAAGGCGCAATCTATCAAGTTAGCGTGTAAATTATTCTAAATCTATCCTACTATGAAAGAGGTTCATCTCCAGTATTTACGGGTTAACCCGTTTATCTTAAGGATATCTGCGAGTGCCTGAAAAACTCTTTTGGGTTTTACATACACTCCTAGCGACAGATCCCTTTTTATTTCGCATCATCAGATCATGAAGTATTCCATCTTAGTCCTGAGAGGTGATTACGCATCTGGAGGCTTCTTAGTTTGAAGTTATCTACAGGTGTCCAGGGCCTGCAGTAGCCACTTACAAACAGGTGCACTGTATGTTCGCTTTTCACTTCTGTTTGGTAAAAAAAAAACAAGATTTAAGTTTACTTTTGGTATTTTCCTTACTGTTTTTCTGGGGTTTTCAGTTCGATCATGCTTGCTGATTTATTTGCCAGTGATTCCTGTTCCTTTAGCTTTTCCAAGTCCGATTCATTATTCTCCTTAATACAACGCACAATATCCAGCAATTCCTTTGTTAAGCGTTCGCGATATACTTTAGGTAGATACCCAAGAAGGGAACTGCCACATTCCTATAACGATTTTCAAAATAATTATAACTTTTAACAAAAAGTAAAAATCGACTTCAATTGCTAATAAACCGCATCAACAAAATCGGTCGAGTTGAACTAATATATCACTTTATAAGGAATCCATGCTGAGGACATCACGGGGTATCCATTTGTTGCACACCAAAATCTTTTCCAGAATGTAACAAATACTTTTGAAAACCGTATCAAAATCGGTTCAGCCAAAACAAACATAACAAACATACATACATACAAACATACGGGTCAAACTGAGAAACTCCTTTTTTTTCTAGTCGTTTAAAAATAGAAGTCAAAAAATTATAACGCACAGAACGAGCATTACCCAAACAGAGTTTTATACAAAATTAGATAATGACTATTTTAACGGTATACTTTAATGTTACTTACTTACTTAGTTACTAACACATATTTTAAAACAATTAAAAATAGTTAATAGTATTGTATTTTTATGTCATATACTCCTGGTAAGTTTAAGATACTTGTGTTAGGATTGGTTCACGGCAGTTGTGGAATGACAGATTAGAACCCAGAACGTTTGAGTTTGCGGTATAGCTATTACCATTAGGCTACCGTCGCTTTATCACATGACGGCGAAGTAAATAATTTATCGTCATTCATCATCATCATTATATATGCCACAAAGCACCTGCATCCATCAACTTCCTGCATATATTAACAGGTCATATATATAGCTCAAGCCAAAAATTGTCTCACCGCGCTTGCAATTGCTTTGTTTGAATGCTTACGAATAAAAATGCAGACGTGATGCTACCCCTGAGGACTAAGATGTAATGCCTCGTTTGCAGTTAGTAGGGTCTTCGGTTCTCTACACTCACCATACGAAATACAAGAGCGTTAAGCTGCTATTTCACGCTGGTATTCTAAGAGAGCGTGGTCCTTCCCCGGTCGAGCCGACCCATTCGTGCTACAACTACGCTACAACGCGTGTGCGCGTTTGCGTCTGAGCGCGTGTGCGTCTGTGCGTGTGTGCGTCTGCGCGTGTGTGCGTCTGTGCGTGTGTGCGTCTGTGCATGTGTGCGTCTGTGCGTGTGTGCGTCTGTGCGTGTGTGCGTCTGTGCGTGTGTGCGTCTGTGCGTGTGTGCGTCTGTGCGTGTGTGCGTCTGTGCGTGTGTGCGTCTGTGCGTCTGTGCGTGTGTGCGTCTGTGCGTGTGTCCGTCTGTGCGTGTGTGCGTCTGTGCGTGTGTGTGCCTGTGTGTGTTTCTGTGTGTGTCTCTCTGTGTGTGTGTCTGTCTCTCTCTCTCTCTCTCTCTCTCTCTCTCTCTCTCTCTCTCTCTCTCTCTCTCTCTCTCTCTCTCTCTCTGTGTGTGTGTGTGTGTGTGCGTGCGTGCGTGTGTGTGTGTGTGTGTGTCTGTGTGTGTGTGTCTGTGTGTGTGCTGTGTGTGTGTCTGTGTGTGTGTGTGTGTCTGTGTGCGTGTCTGTGTGCGTGTCTGTGTGTGTCTGTGTGTGTCTCTCTCTAACTGTGTGTGTGCGCGCGCGTGTGTGTGTGTGTGTGTGTGTGTGACTACTTACAGTACCTTGTCAAGTTGTTTTCCGCCCTTAGTTCCTGACACTTGCCAAAAACCACTAGTTTGTTGCTGACTAGTCGCCGGGCAGGAGCAGGAAACATTATGGCTTTCTAGGACTACGTGGAGACCTGATGCCTGAAATAGGTTTTTTTTTAATAAACATCACACGTCTTTTAGTTATAAATTTTTGTTTCTAACTTACGATCTTAAAGTAGGTACAAAATTAAACGAAATCCTCGGCTATTTTGAACATCAACAGTTACTGTGCGTTGTAAAAACAAATACTATGGGAATCATAAATATTGGGTTAATATCACCCTCTTACCAATTTAGCGGTTAAGTAGCAGTTCATGCATAGCTGATCGCTGTGTTTTAGTTTGATGTAATTGCAGGCTGTTATGGTCCCCACTCACGGTCAGTTAAACTGATCAGTTTAACTGACGTACATCCAAAAACTGACCGCGAATGTGAAATCTTAAGTTGAAATTTTTAACTGAAGGTAACACACGGATTTTATTCGGGCGTGCTGTCAGTTAAACTGCTCCGTTGAACTGACGTACATCCAAAAACTGATCGTGAATGTGAAATCTTAAGTTAAAATTTTTAACTGACGGCAACCCACGTATTTTTCCGGGCGCACCGTAATCCGCTGGCTCCAGTTCGTTTCCATTATTTGTAAGTACATACTTTCTTATTAGCTTTTATATATATTTTATAATTTTTTATAACATGTTTTAAGATTTTATATTATTTTCTATATTTTTTTTATTAAAAAAAAACGTTATCCCCACACTAGGATTTTCTCCTGTATCGTGAAGGCAGTTTACAAACACAAATTTCACAAGGACAAACATCCAGACCGGGAACAATCATTTGTAGGCCATACAAATAATTGTTCCGTGCGGGATTCGAACCCGCGCCGTAATTCATTGCTAAGCCACTGCGCCACGGAGCCGTCATACTTATTTAGAGAAGTTGGTTTTACAGAGGATGGAGACCAAGGTGATGGTAATGATGTCACCTTCCTTATGGTGGACTCAGAAGGTGGGTAAAGGATCTCAGTGACGCTACTACGTAGAACCATCGTGTTTGGACTCATTTTCAAATAGGTAAATGGAGACCTAGATGACTGTTATGATTTCACCTTTCTGATTGTGTAATCCGAAGGTGGATATAGGATCTCATTGGCGGCACTAGATAGAACGATCGTGTTTGAGCTCATTTGAAAGGGCTCATAAAGACGTAGGTGACTGCTGTGACCTCACATTTCTGATGGTGCAATCCGAAGGTGGATATAGGATCTCAGTGGCGGCACTAGATAGAACGGTCGTGTTTGAACTCATTTGAAAGGGCTCCTAAAGACTTAGGTGACTGTTATGATCCTACCTTTCTGATGGTGCAATCCGAAGGTGGATATAGGATCTCAGTGGCGGCACTAGATAGAACGATCGTGTTTGAACTCATTTGAAAGGGCTCATAAAGACCTAGGTGACTTTTATGACCTCACCTTTCTGATGATGCAATCCGAAGGTGGGTATAGGATCTCAGTGGCGGCACTAGATAGAACGATCGCGTTTGAGCTCATTTGAAAGGGCTCATAAAGACCTAGATGACTGTTATGACCTCACCTTTCTGATGGTGTAATCCGAAGGTGGATATAGGATCTCAGTGGCGGTACTAGATAGAACGGTCGTATTTGAACTCATTTGAAAAGGCTCATAAAGACTTAGTTGACTGTTATGATCTCACCTTTCTGTTGGTGCAATCCGTATGTGGGTATAGGATCTCAGTGGCGGTACTAGATAGAACGGTCGTGTTTGAACTCATTTGAAAGGGCTCATAAAGACTTAGGTGACTGTTATGGTCTCACGTTTCTGATGGTGCAAACCGAAGGTGGGTGTAGGATCTCAGTGACGGCACTAGATAGAAGGATCGTATTTGAACTCATTTGAATGGGGTCATAAAGACCTAGGTGACTGTTATGACCTCATTTTTCTGATGGTGTAATGCGAAGGTGGGTATAGGATCTCAGTGGCGGCACTAGGTAGAACGATCGTGTTTGAACTCATTTGAAAGGATTTATAAAGACATAGTTTAATGTGATTATATTACCTTCATGATGGTGAACAAAGAAGGTGGGGTAAAAGATCTCAGTTATGCCACTACGAAACACCATCGTGTTTGAGCTTATTTGGAAGGGCTCAAGAAGTAAGTACACAAATAATATAAATATAATAAATAGTACAAACAGTATTATTACTCACTTTATAATGTTTTCATGCAATTAAAAAGCAGCAAAACTCTTAAGTAGGTACAAAATTAGAAATCGACCATATAATATACAGGCAATAAAAAAAGGCAGAACGGAAAAAGCATAACCAACTACAACCAGAAGACGAAAATATCTGCGTACTTCAAGAAAACCTACAAGCACCATTAACACCAATTCCTCTAAATGACCAAGTTACCTGTACGCAGTATTTAGAATTCAATGATTTTTGACTGATTTATTACACGAATACTACACATTTAATAAAACAAATTTTACGGATTTTATTTTGTTTAACTTATTTTAATTCGTGACGTTTGGGTGCTTCAACTTTATTTTAGTATGTAACACGTCGAGAGCTCAATTAGATGAACACAGAAAACGAGGCCATCCTAACTATTTCCGTTACTAAAAACCGATAAGTATTATCTGGTCATCATAAGACCTTCAGAATGTGCCCATGCCCACGGATTTATTTCGGTTCACCGTAACCGGAGTGCAAGTTAGTATCAGTGGGGTGTCGCCGCTCTACAGATAGGTAATTTAATAAACAGATAAAAATAAATAACACATTTATTAAATAAATAAAATTTACTATAATGAGTAAAATTATCATAATATCTGACCCATTTCTTAAAAGTGTCTTAATACTGACCTTATCATGAATAAAAATATCTTTTGAAGTGTTAATATATAGGAAACGTTATTTATATACATATATACCTATATACGGAACGGATTTCATTTCTCGATCGATGAAGCCGCAGCCGTGCGCGTTTAGTTGGCGTGACTCCTATAAATTAAAAATATCATTTCCTATCTATTAACTAGCTGTTCCCCGCGACTTTGCCCGCGTGTAACTTATTACGATTGGATTTCATGGGTTTTTAATTTTATTGCACGAAACCCCAATTCTTTTTTTAAATTAAAATTAGCATAAGTTCCTCCATATAATATCAGTTTTATGCCACTGAGTCTCGTCAAAATCGGTTCAGCCGATTCGGAGATTAGCCGGAACAAACAGACAGACAAACAGACAGAAAGAAAGATAGACAAAGATTTTAAAAATTGTGTTTTTGTTATAAGTACCGTATGTACATATGCATTTAGTAAAAAATTGCTATTTTGACATTACATATAGACACTTCAATTTTATTTATTTGTATAGATATATATTAATAGACAGGAAATGCTATTAAATAAGATTTAGGTATTATTAAATATCATTTAATTTATCTATATATATGATATTTTATAGGAGTCACGCAAACCAAACGCCCACAGCCACGCCCCACGTTTGAACTAGGACTGGTGATAAAATATCGATGTATCGAAAAATCTATTTTATTATTTAGAAATACCGATATTTATTTCTAATATTTTTGACGACATATATTGAAATATAAGTTTGATATTGAAATGCCGTGTAGTGGCGGCTAAGAATATCCACTACCCCATATCTTCCCGTGGGTGTCGTAAAAGGCGACAAAGGGAAACAGGCAGGAGATGGGCAGCAGCATCTTCCTGATAATAGCCAAAATAATAATAAAAAAAAAAACTGCGGTTGCCAACCCGCTCGCCAAGCGTGGCAACTATGGCAATATACCCCCCATGAGCAATGACAATAATAAACGGCCCCCAGTCCCCGGCGGCCCCGCTATTCCTGGCTACGGTGGCGACCATGGTAACGGCGGGGCAGGGGGTGCTAAGAATCTCCGGTGGAGGTTCGGTTGCCACCTACGACGACTCGACCTGGCAACATACAACGCACGCACCCTGAGGACTGACGAGAAGATTGTGGAGCTGGAAGAAGAGATAGACAAGTTACGCTGGCATATTATAGGATTATCCGAAGTCCGAAGAGAGGGGGAGGACACGGTAATCCTCGAATCCGGCAACTTGCTCTATTACCGGGAGGGCGACCATCTGTCCCAAGGAGGTGTCGGATTTATCGTCCACAAGTCTCTCGTTAACAAAGTTGTAAAGATTGAGAGTGTGTCGACGAGGGTTGCGTACCTTATACTCAGAATCACCAAACGGTATTCGCTGAAGGTCATACAGGTTTACGCACCAACCTCGGCACACCCCGATCAGGAGGTGGAGGAAATGTATGAGGATATCTCTAGAGCCATGCATTCCTCCAAAACCCAATATACGGTGTTAATGGGAGACTTCAATGCAAAACTAGGCACAAGAGAGAACGGTGAGCTGAAAGTAGGGAAATTTGGAATAGGGCAACGGAACCCAAGGGGCCAGCAGTTGGCCGACTTCATGGAGAAAGAGGGACTCTTTATGATGAACTCTTTCTTCCAGAAGCGGCCCCACAGGAAGTGGACCTGGTCGAGCCCCGACGGTTCGACAAAAAATGAGATTGACTTCATTATGACGACCAGACGACAACTGTTCAGTGATGTCTCAGTGATCGCGAGGGTGAAAACCGGCAGCGATCACCGAATGGTTAGAGGCACACTGAACCTAAACGTTAAGTTGGAGAGGTCTCGTCTAATGAAGTCAACGCTCCGTCCCCCTCGTGCTCTAATCCAAAGTCCCGAAACCTTTCAGCTCGAGTTACAAAACCGTTTTCAGTGCCTAGAAGACTGCAATGAAGTGGACGATTTGAATGACAAGCTCGTGGAAACTGTCCATGCGGTCGGAGCTAAGTTCTGCAAGACCCGCCGCAGAAGAACACAAAAACTCTCCGATCACACTCTTAATCTCATGGCTGTTAGACGGGAGATGAAGCTACATTCTTCAACAGATTTGACAGCATACAGGCAACTGAACAGACAGATCTCCAAATGCATGCGGCGGGACTTACGCAACTTCAATACAGCTCGTATTGAAGAAGCGATCGAGCGGAACCAAG